TATATATATATATATATATATATATATATATATATGCATATAGGGATATAACAATTATGTAGGTAATATAAACGATAAAATGCAAACAATTCGAAATAACATTTGAATAGGATGGAATGGACAGGAATCAAATTGAATTGCATTCAAATAAATAGATGAATGAATGAGTACATTCAAGCAATTGAAATGATAATATTTCATTTACCGTTTACATCTGTACCATATACCTTTTTGTACGATAATGATAAGGGTATTGATAACGTTAATTAAACCGTCAAAGAAACAATATCATGCCGTCAAACGTAACGAAATAGAATTCGTATAAATAATCATTTATATGAGTTATGTTGCAGCATAACGACAATATCAATAGTAATCTCAACAAGCATATTCGTGTCTGTTCAAACGTTTTGTTGGTTATCGTTTGTAATGAAACGAAATTTTGAATTTGAATTGTGTGGTTATTGATCATTGGATAATTTCACTTTTGATTTCGGGTCGATCATCCCGGTATATTGTAACTCGTGTCGCTGAACTAATCATTACTGATGCGGCATCAATAGCACTTTTGATTAATGTCTGAAAACAACACCATTAGCAACAACAGCGCGATCGACCCGACTCAAGCCGGCTTCACTTAACTTGACTGTGCTCATTTTCTTCATCTTTGATTGCCACTTCCATACCATTCTATGCCATCATCGTAATTAACTTTACCGACCGGACTCATTCCACTCAACCACCTTACAGTGAACATCTCAAAGCGCAACTTCAAACTGCCAACGTGAAAGTGTTTAAGCGCAAGCCCGTAAGCCAAGCAAGTAAACAACAAATGAAAACCTAACAAATAACAGATATTAAATACCAAATACAGACTATAAGCATGAACAGCATTTGCAAAAGCATCACTCAACGTAATCTGTGATCGTTTCATGTGTTCATCATCATCCATTCATTCATTTAGCAGCTCGTAGCCATAACCCGCCCGTCGCTGCACATTCATCTAATTTGAATCTTTTAACCTCATTGCACCGATCCCAACTCAAATCCACCCATCCATCCATCCATCCATCTCAATATTCATCCATTTTGAACATCCAAAAGCAAACGACATCCTTACGGCCTAAACTTTCTTCCTGCTCCTACTCGCATTTCTTCGTTTTTCATCTCAGTGATCCTTATCAAATGGGTATCACCACACATCGTCACAACGATCACCGTTCAACTCCTACTACCAATGTTTCAACTTCAACCGCAATTTCTTCAGTTCCTTCCTCAACATCCACAAATACTACTGCCACCCCTAATATTCATCCCTTTCTAACTACTCAAGCTGTTAATTCATCAACCAACAGCAATGCGATTGATCAACACGACGGTTCTATTCATTCAACACCACAAAACAGCAACAATAATAATAATAATAACAATAATGATTTACCATTCAGTATTCAAACAATTCTATCTGATCAAGAAAATGAAAGAAGTCGCAAATCTGTCGCATTTTCATCTGTTGTTACGTCGAAATCTGTGACCAAGTCGCACTTCCAATTCGAGTCGCATTCAGCAACGAACACGACACTTCGTGATTATTACTGCAATGTTTTACAGAACGCAAAAGATTGTCTTAATTTCACCGCATCAAATAACGACTCTGTTTTATTTGCCGTCAACCGTGATAATGACCCTTCAGTAACTGTCCCATGCTGTTATTATTTATATTTCAATAATACTAATAACAGTGATGGCATTAATAATAATAATGACAGTAGCGGATCTATTCCAAAGTCAGCAGCATCCTTATTCAACCCTTATCATCATCCAACGGTGATCACTCCATCAAATCCGGATCCCCTTGATTCAGATTCATCAACGCTAAGTTCACATCCTATTACCAATCTAAATACAATTACAAACACAAAGCTCATTTCACACTCCAAAACAAATTATACGGATCATAATGTGATGGTTGCTTCGAATTATTATGATAACGTTAAGAATAATGATAATACTCATCAAACGCATTCTTACGAAAGTGACGAGGAAGAAGATAGTGATGACACTAACGTGACAATATCGAACACAGCAAGAAAGCATTCGTCACCTGCAATTGTATCGTTACCTTCAACCACCTCGAATATACGTCGGGTTGGACATCCATATCAAAGCCGTGCACCAGCTAAACACAAAAAACCACGAACTTCTTTCTCAAAAAAACAGGTATCTGTTCATCATTTAACTGATTCTTTTCTAGCATTCAGTTAACGAGCGTATTAACGAACGATCATTGAAAATTGTTATGGATCAAAAAATTTTCAAAATTTTATCTTCTCTTTGCTTCATTAATTCATTTTAAATCACCATATACCGCCTTTTTTGATTTATTCATTTATTTAATTAGCAATTCCAACTCATCGCGACTTTATACCTCTCTGTTATCACCAATATCACAAATATCGTCCGTCTTTGGCATCCTTCTATCCGCACAGCTAACAACAGTAGCGTTAGGAATCATCTGTCTTCATGAAATCCTAACTTTGATTATTGATTTATTTGGCGATCACAGAGGTTTTAGGCTACTCTCCCTTACTACCCAATGATTTCTAGGGAGAGGGACTCGAAAAGAGCCCAAAAATACACCCCGCTTGATTGATTGAACATGCGTCCAGCGATTGCTCAGAGTAGCTGTTTGGAACAAACAGCAATAGTGAATCAGTAACCTTTCGGAATCAATAATAAACAATTAATGTAACCGAATAGATCCATAACAATCATCGTATCAAACGTTCCACAACCATAATGCTTATTAGTCAATGCCCGTTGCCGTAAATAATTCGCACAAATAAACATAACCGAATGTCAATCCATTAAATAATCGCACTAACGATGAACATTTTGCCGATCGTCCGGAGCGATCGGCAAACCAACTGCTTCGTGTCCGAATAGCTAACTACTCGAATCCAGAATGTAATGATCTGATGGATGAACTGATGAGTGAAAGAATAAACTTCAGGTGGCATTACTGGAAGATCGTTTTCTCAGTCAAAAATATTTAGCATCAACTGAACGCGCTAGCTTAGCGATCGAACTTGATATGAGTGACGCCCAAGTGAAAACGTGGTTTCAAAATCGACGTACTAAATGGAGGTAGGTGTATTGTTGCTGATTTGATTGCACATGACTTGTCTACCAGCCACGCTTAATGCCAAGTTTCAATTGTTTATTTCATCCTCTTTTTTTTATAGTGAATGCTTTGAATGGTAGCAATTAAGGTGTTTTCAGGAGGCAAGAAGCCGAAGAAAAGGAATTTGAAGACAAAGCAAATGCACGTATGCTATCGTCCTATAGGCAGTGTTTCTTTGCAAGACCTGATATCACTCTATGAGCGAGTATACTCAAATAATTCTCATTGTTTTATCACTCCAAACTGAACAACATTCACAATCAGTCGAAATAGTCTATGAATGTGTTCGATTATAAATGCTTTAATAAAAATTACCATCAATTTCTACAATACAACACTATTATATGAAGAAGCATTTATTATTTCATTGATCGAATACAATATGGAATCAATTATGCATTTCAGTGTTTTCTATAAGGTGGCAATTACGGATGCTAAACGAACATATCATCGAATAAAATCTACGGTGTTGTTTAGTTTGCTGCGGTAGATTTGTAAGGGTATTATGATGTCATTTATGTGCGACCAACTGACTGATTCGTTATTAAAATCCACCAAAACCAAAAACACTCGCTGCACCAAAAATCTACAAATAACAATGCAAGTTGGTGACGTGCTCAAAGTAAGAATAAACTTTACCTCCTCAAAATTGTTCTCAATAAACAAAAAGGAAATATTCGCAGAAAGGAAAAAACATACGATGTGAAAAGTTAAACGGACCGGATTATGGAAAGCAGCGAATTGAGATGAAAGCTGAAGTGAGCGATCTTGATCGATACGTTTGCATTTATAACGTCGATTTTGAAACCAAATCTTAATCTGAGTTGGTGTCAATCCGAGACTTTCGGCGAGACCATCACGTTCGGAAGCATTCACATAGCGTTGTCGCTTGAAATGTTCCTCCAACTGCATTACCTGAATGTGGAAGTGGAAAGATTATTGATCACAAGAATTGTAGTGAGGATGGTTTTATGAGCGCAGCTTAAAAACGAATACATCAGAAGAAACAGTCAGCTAACTGTTTTAATGCATTCGACCAATGACCTGATTATGCGTAAACAAAACTCGTGGTTTACGGCGATTTTGTTGCGTACGAAGGTGGATGTCAGGTGAGGAATGATGCTGAGAATGAAGCTGCTGCCGCTCATAACTCCTCTCCAACGGCTCTCTTCTGGTTTGATTCTGTGACGCTTGCAAAGCCGCTAAAGTTGCACTCCGAAAAGTTCTTGGAAATGTTTCCAGCTCATCGATTTTTTGATGCACACAGCTAGTAGCTCCGCGATTGTTGACCCTATCATCCAAACTGCCCGCACCATCATCATGAACATTTGCGGCATGACAGTTATAATGATCACTGTCACTGTAACCTGAAAATCGAAGTCATAGGTGAGAAATTCGCCTCAAATTTCGGGTCAAGAAGACAGATTTCAAATGAAAAAAACGCACGATTGTATGAAGAAAGTTAATAGGAAGAATCAAAGAAAGAATGACTAACTGAGCGCAAACGAGCTTGGCAAAGATGAGGTGGGGTGAAAAGTGAACGGTGTTGAATTGAAACTGGTATCAGGGGAAGTTTTTCTACTAAAGGTATTCATGGATACTGTAGAAGTAGGAATGCAGTCAGCCTTATAGACCGAAACCAATGTGTTAGCATTAGACGACGATGAAGGAAATTTTATGAAGAGGTGTCCGAATTGCTCAGGATTATTGTTGTTAGCATTAGTACTAACTTATGTATTAGATAATCACCAATGAGGAATCATTGAATAGCAAGCAATTGAGAAGTGATGAGATGAAGACGATAGATAAATGAGTGAATGATTGAAGACTGGACGATTTAAGGTTGGGGTGGAGGGCTGGATATGGAAAAATATAGAATGATGAGGTCGAAGGTATTGTTTGTTTAATTATCCGATACGCTCTCACTGTCAATTTCACACATGCTCATTTGTATTTTTGCATAGTTCGAAGACACACTAGTTGCTGGTCAATCAAAATGTATCGTGGAATAAACCTCGCAGGAGACGAGCACGACGCAAGGCCAAGCAATGATTATTTCAATGTTTCGTCGTCAGTTTCCTTGAAGAAATGATTTCGTTTCTTCTCTTGTAATCCGAAACGCTTTTCTTGTAAATGATACGACGATTATTCAATTCAATTAACGCCTCGCCTCTTGCTCGCCTTCTTTGGGCAATTTAAACTGCACAAATAAACAAACAAACACAAGAAGAATATCAGCACAACCATTCAACCATCATACGTATTATATCAGACGATAATTTGATGAATCCCGAAAATGCGTTATTCAAAAACTATTTGCCGCACAAAAGCACCTTCCGTAAGAAAGAAACGAAAGCCACAAATACGGAGTACGCGCAGCATCCTCAGGTTTTATATTACATCATTATAGATGACCTATTCGAACGGTCAATACACTTAACGATCACGTAGTTGACTCAATCGCCCACTTCACAGCAAACCGTTCGAATTATCTGCCCCTCTAAGATCGTTTCGTTTATGCGTGACCGACAGTAAAAATATGACTGACAATTTTTTTGTTAAAATTCAAATTTCTGAACCGTGTGATGCTTAGATAGAGACGTTCTTGGGTCATCTAATTATACCATGAAAAAATCTATATGTTTAGTCGTTAAGAGATATGGTAGATTTTGTTCAATAAGTTTCTGCAAAATGAAGTTTTTTGAACAGCCCACTTTGCTGTCTAATTCAGCAAACTTTCAAGCTTGTAAGCTGCAATTTTAACACAAAAATCTGCACGGGGTTAGGCGAAAGAAAAATTCACTTAGGAACGACGATAGTGAATCGAATACTGATGTAACTTACTCAGGATGGTGATTTATTTCTAAATAAGGGCGTTATGACATCGACACTTTTGTGTCATTAACATGAACTTTGTGACATATTTCTATATGGAGAAGAGAGCTGTAATCAAGTAACAGCAAATGAACTGTGCTGTTGCAATGAAACATGATTTATACACAATAAATCGAACTCATTTGTTTTCACTATGTGGAATAATGCCTCCTTTATAATTGAAACTGCAAACATCTTGCATAGATGCATTGCATGGTCGTCACTAGTGATGTCTCTATTCCAATTAAACTATTCTATTCCTGTTCTATTTCTGTTCTGTTCCATGGAATAGAATAGAACAGTTCGCAAATGAGGAAGGTAGAGTTTGGAATAGAATAGTGACCTTTTACAGCCCGAACGAACATAATAGAACAGTTTTCAACAGATTTTGGCTGTTCCTTAAACTGTTCTTTTTGAATACTGCAGTGAGATGAATTATTATTGTTGTATTATTGTTACATTTATTATTATTATTATATTTATTTTATATTTGTATATTTTCTTATTATTATGTTATTATTATTATCATTATTATTACTATATTTATCATAATAATAATAATAATAATAATAATAATAATAATAACAATATTATTATTATTATTATTATTATTATTATTATTACCATTATTACTATTATCTCGTCACGATTTTTTTTCAAATCATGGATTATAATTATGCGGCTGGAAAATGCTTGAAGTTTCTGCAAGGATAACGGAGAAATAGTTTTCCAAGTAATTCAATGCTAATAGCTGTTAGAGATTCGAATCCACCAAAAAACATCATATTCAATATCACTAAGGAGAGACGAATGTCCATCAGTGAGAGATGAAATAACTCATCAAGGGCAAGTTATCGCAGTTAGTTCTCAAAGCTACCAATGACTGTTTGTGAGGAATTCCAGAAACAACCAAAGGATGCAGCTGTGCTTCCGAATGAGCACCCCAGATTCAAATATTGGTCGTACTCTAAATTCTAGGAGCAATCCATCACAAAAATTGTTCACATTTTACGCCTCCAATAAAAGTTAATGCTTGGACGATTCGAGTCCGATTGAACGGATCAGTTCAATCCGAACTCATTAGTATGAGAAACCGTGCGTCAGTTTCCGACCGAACTGTTGGGACTAAACGAGAATCCTCTGTTCTTCAATGGTGGTGGTTACCAGAGCCCGAAATCCTCCGCTTTCTTCCAATCATTATGGTCAAAAGCTGTCAACTGCTCACGTGGACAATCTTCTCTCTTCCGAAATAATCTCCATTTTGCACTGCAAATGCCAAAAAACCGCGTTTCGAACCCTAATTAGCACAACTTTTATTGTGTCGCTTTTCTGACTGACGGAACAGAATAGAATAGTATAGCACAGTTTAAAGGGGTAGAATAGAACAGTTCTCAAACGAGAAACGCACAGGATAGAATAGAATAGAGCCATTTTGCAGCGGAATCGAACAGAATAGAATAGTTTTCAAAAACGTGGTATCACTAGTTGTCACAATGCCTGCACGTCTTTTGTCGCTGGTAAATTTCGTTAAATCGCGTTCTTTCAGAAAATATAACTCTTAAGGGCTTCGATCTGCTACCTCTTCTATCCGGATTCCGGAACAACGACATGAGAAACGGAAACAAAAAACCGATAGGAAAACCAATCGAAAAAACGAAATTAAAGGAAACAAAGAGCCTCTTCCTAGTAAACCAAATGAAAACTCAAAGGAAAAATAAAAACGAATGCCAATAAGATTTTGTTATACCAATGCACTTCCGGACCCAATAAAAAGATCCAATACCAAAAATTACACGTATCAGTTAGATTGGATTTGCAAAAAAAAGTCTTCTTCGTGCTTCAAGAAAATAGTTACATGGCTATTTTCATTAGCGATTAACGGTACGATGATATTCGCTGCAAGTGTGATTCTTTGAAGTGCTTCTGAACTCAAAAAGCAGCACGCATAGTATTATGACATGCTACAGTAGCTATGCGATGCGAAGTGGTTATGTTGATTAATGTTTCTATTGCAGTAATTATGATGGGATACATTCGCCGTAATCATGCTCTTGTCACTTCGAGAAAATTGACAGCATCAAACGGACGGAAGAAACAAATGAACGACGAAGGAATCCTTTATTTGATTTTATTCCATTAATGAACATTACTAATAGCAACAGTGGTCATCATAATGAACAGTAATTAATGTAATGATCGCTCATTGTTGAAGTACAAACAATGAGAGAGTAATTCAAAACGATAAATACCATAATAGTGGTGAGAATAGTGAAGAAAAAAAATCAACTTTTTGGGGAATATCATATTTTTTTGGAGATCGAGAATGTGCAAAAAATAAATTTTATCGTTTCATCAGATGCAACAGTGGTAACGTGAAATGGGGTGTGGTCAGAATTGAACGATAAGGAAGCAATTTGTGATGATGATCGATGAGCAGCGGCTATATGTTGAAGATGCCACCCACCAGCAAATGACGAATAATATGCTTTTTACATCGTATTCAGATTTTGAATAATCCAGTCGAATCACAAACAATCAGCGATAATAATAATAAAAAATTATTTTGGTTGTTGCGATTAGGTGTAGTGGCGAGCGAGCGGACTGCAATTTGTAAATCTTACAACTATTTTTGGCTAAGGAATCGAATGAATTGATCTGAACAGGTGATCAAAAATGACATCGAATGAGGTGATTTAGGAAAATTTGAACGGTTCATAAATGTGATAAATGTATAGAAGATAGTCAAATAAATGTAGCTTGAAAGCACATTTCAGTCAAATCACACTCTAACATGCATTCGTTTCATTCGTCACGGTCAACTCTAGAAGAATGAATGCCGCAGCTCAGCCGAGGATAGATCAACGACGGATATATTGGCTGGGCCCGGACTGGAGCTAACTAATCCAGCAACTCTGCACATGAACTGCACGCTGCCAATCTATCTACTGTGGACAAGCCGAACTTAACCATTCTAACACTACTGGAAAGAAGAAAACTTTCTCTAGCAATTTCCACTCTCGTTAGAACTGAATAATAACGATGCATCACGAAATGCATTCTCAACAATAATTGCGACTGCGATTTTACTGTGATTATTATCAATTATTACTATTAATTATTATTATTAATTATCATTATTACTATTGTTATTTATATTATTACCATCATTATTTTTACAAAACCAATCTCATTATTGCTGTCATTATTATTTCCACCGTTAATTCTATTATTATTGTTATTATTATTATTGTTATTGTTAACACTGTTTTTACATTGATTATTGTGATAATAACAATAACAATAATGTTAATAATAACAATAATGTTAATAATAATAATAATAACAATGATAACATAATAGTAATAATAATCATAATAGTAATAATTATAATTATAAAATTTCTATTGTCGTTGCTGTTATAGTGTTTTGAAAGGATAAGAAAAGCGATTACGTTTTGGATTTATTCGACTGAATTCACTGAGCACAAGAAGATGACGCGTCGAGAACAAGTGAGATAGGCGTATAAAGTAAGTGGATTTTCATTAATGTTTTTTGACATTGTAGATACGAATGCTGAAAAAAAGATTGTTTGTTGATTTGTGTTGTGTTTTATTGGTTAGATTCCTTATTTAAGCGACTGATTGGTCAATCAAATAAGTAAGTTAGTCAATCAGAAAGCAATTACAACAGCAACAACAACAACGACAACGACAACCACGACAGCAGCAAAAACATTAATAATGACAGTAATAATAAGAAGAAGATTGATAAAGTAATAATAATAATGATAATGATAATGATAGCAGTAATAATGGTAATACGATAGTTAACATGATAAAGTAGTGCCGAGAACGGGACGCGACGATGCTAGCAACAGCCAACCGTTCAAGCTTGTAAGGAGCAATTAAATTAAGCGTTTAATCAATCAGAACGCAAATTAAGCAAAGCTGATGCACTCAGTTGCGTTACTCATTACTTTGTCTATCAAAATAATTCACTGCTGAATAATTTTCAGCATATGTTTATGTGTCTCATGTATGCTTTCTGGGTGTTCCAGTTCTGCAATTCTCACGTATATTCGAATGTACACACGAGTTCGCTAACTGCTTTCGAAGTTCAAACTATTAAATGTTGAACGAGGTTGACATTGATAAATTTGAAATGTTTACAGCCATTCGTATGTATGTTATTAGGAACGAAACGATAAAATCACAAAAGATGTTAAATAAAAATGAAGGCAGCAGAAGCAGCAGCAGCAGTAATCAATCAACAGAAGTAATCATCAAAAAATTATACTTGCGTATGTGTTGCTTTATATTTCTTAATTTACTCACCTATTTTATGATTCATTTGTTTATTTGTCCCTTCGTTTGCAACACAACTACAGCAAAAACAACAGCACAAAAAAGATACAGTGAGTTTAATACAAACGAGTAACTGATAATAATAGTAATAGTTACAGTCATAATAATAATAATAATAATAATAATAATAATAATAATGA